CAAACCCTCCAGTCCCTTAGTGTAGAAGCTGCTAAATCTTGTGTTATCCTGATTGTGTTTCCACAATACTTGACTTGTTTCTTTCTGGCTGCTTGCAGTGTTGTCTCCTTGACCTGGAAACTCTGGAATTTGGCTATAATATTCCTAGGAGTTTTCCTCTGGGGATCTCTTTCAGGAGGTGATTGGCAGATTCTTCCAATTATTATTTTACCTTCTGGTTCTAGAATATCAGAGCAGTTTTCCTTGATAATTTCTTGAAAGATGATGTCTAGGCTCCTTTTTTGATCATGACTTTCAGGTAATTTTAAAATTATCTTTCCTGGATCTATTTTCCAGGTCAGTTGTTTTTCCAATGAGATATTTCACATTGTCTTCTATTTTTTATTTTTTGGTTTTGTTTTATAATTTCTTGAATTCTCATAGAGTCACTAGCTTCTATTTCCTTCATTCTAGTTTTTAAGGAATTATTTTCTTCAGTGAACTTTTGGACCTCCTTTTCAATTTGGTCAATTCTGCTTTTTAAGATATTCTCCTCCTCATTGGCTTTTTGGACCTCTTTTGGGTTAGTCTATTTTTTAAGGTGTTATTTTCTTCAGTTTTTTTTTTTTGGGTCTCCTTTAGCAAGCTGTTGACTTGTTTTTGATGATTTTTTTTTGTATCACTCTCATTTCTCTTCCCAATTTTTCCTCTACTTCTCTTACTTGCTTTTCAAACTCCTTTTTGAGCTCTTCCATGGTCTGAGACCAATTCATATTTTTCTTGGAGGCTTTGGATGTAGGAGTTTTGATCTTCCGGTTGTATGTTTTGATCTTTTTCACCAAAGTAAGATTCTATAGTCTGAGTTTTTTTTCCACTACCTGCTCATGTTTCCAGCCAATTACTTGACTTTTAAACTCTTTGTTAAGGTAGGGCTCTGCTTCCAGTGTGAAGGGTGTACTGTCTGAAGCTTTGGGGGTTTTGTGCAGCTCTTTTCAGAGATATTTCTAGGGACCTGTAAATTTTCAGTTCTTCCAAGGTGGTATTATCAAAGGAGAGGTGTTTACTCTTTTTCTGGCTTGTGCTCTGGTCTATGAGTGACCACAAGCACTCTTTTCTGCCTTGGAACTGTGAGGAGGATTCCCTCTCCACTGCCACCACAAGCTCTGTCATGCCACACACTCTTCCTCGCCCCAGGACCACCACCCAGGACTGTGACCCAGATCCAAGCATGAGCAAAGCAAGAGAATCCTGCACTGGCACCAGCAAAGAGATCCCTGCAATCCCCTTCTGATCAGCCACTCAATCCCCCCACTGTCTGTCAGCTGAGAGCTCTAGAAGTAACCATTGCTACTGTGGCTGCCACCCCAGGGCTGCGCTAGAGCCAGGGCTGGACTGCGCCCCTCTCTCACCCAGGTCTGGCAGACCTTTCCCACTGATCTTCTAAGTTGTCTTTGGTGTTTGTGGGTTGAGAGGTCTGGAAACCGCCACCGCTGCCCGTGATTCAGTCCCTTGAGGCCTGGGGTTTGCTGGGAGCCTGTCTTTGCCTGCATGGCCCACACTGAACTACACTTCTCTCCCAGCCTGGTGCAACAGACCTTTCCTATCAACCATCCAGGTTGTCTGGGGCTGGAAATTTGATTCATTCTGTCTTTTTGTGGGTTTTGCTGCTCTAGAATTTGTTTAGAGTAATTTTTTTATAGGTATTTGGAGGGGTTTGGGGAAGAGTTCACACAAGTTACTGCTTCTACTCCACCATCTTGGCTCCACCCCCAAAATGTTACTTCTTAATGTGAATATCAGTTGCCTTTAAGCTAGAGAATTTCAAAGTTCCTCAGGCTGGCTGTCTCTGGGCTTTACAGACTAGGCCGGCCAGTTATTCACTCACCTGGATAATGTGCTGCCCAATCAGAACAGAGCCCAAAGCAAAACAGCTCATGTTAGTAAGGCAAATCAGCCTAGCCATCTCTTCCTCTAAAACAAAGCAGATGCAGAACCTGTCTTTCCCCTTTTTTTGCTTTTCCCTCTCAGACAAGAGGGGGTGAAAAGAGGTGCCATAAACTTTTGAGAAGCTTCACCTCTCTTAAACTTTAGGTGGCAATGAAGGGCAATAACTAAAATTTCAGTCTTCATTCAGCCAATCAGAAATCACATCGCTAAATCTTTCTGTCATCTGACTGCTCTTGCAATTGGTCTCTTCAAACAGCTTCAAGAAATTGCTTTCCCAACCCCCAGCTGTTTTTTTTAACCCTCAATAGCTAGGTTCTTTACTCTTCAGATTCAGTTTCCTATCTCCAACATCTATAGCTATCAATGACTTAAATCAAAGCCTCTTGGCTCTCAGCAAATTCACCTTTTACTCAAAAGCAGAAAATTTCTCCTGCGAAATTGATAGTCACTTGAAAATCATATCTCAGTCTTCAAATATTTATAGGATTTCTCATTTTTAATGAAAAATCTTTAGTCATAAGAGTAAATATAATGTATGTAGTCTTAAGATTATATACAGATGAGCTGAGGGACCATAATGCTGTGTAGCTAAGTTCCCAACGTGGTCCTCTAACTTATTTTGTGTCTTTGTACTTCTTTTGTGTCCTGTGTACCTCTTCATCTTATAATTTCCCAATTTTCAATAAATTCAAGTAATTTTTCTCTCCCTTTGAACTTTCATATGTTCACATACAAATGAGGCATAATTGGTTGAAATCATCACTCAAATGGTTCAGAGAAATAAAGGAGAGAATAGAAAAGGGGGTGGAGTGGAAAGGCCATTGAAGTTTGGAATGAGGAGAGGCTTTTCCTCAAAGGCATACCCAACTGTACTCAGGACTAATCTGTGGAGACTTCATGAAGAATATCTGATTTCAGGAACTATTTCATCGTGACATGCCCTAGAAGGCTGGGCTTGGTGGTGGTGGTGGTAGGGTGCAGGCACTTAGTGCTTCAGGGACCGGGGGTGCTAGTGTGTCCCTCTTTATGGGGCTTGCGCTTGTTTGACTTCTTAGGAGACAGTTGTTACCTGGTTACTAGAGAAGTCTTCAAAGGAAGGAATCTTTTTCTTTGATCCTCCTCTCTCCCCAAGGATAGTGACTTAGTCCTGTGAATTTCATTGAGAACAGGAACTCAAAAGTGAGGAAACTCCCCAGTGTAGGTTGGTGTCATCTTTGGAATTTATGGTCTTAGGAAATTGCCTGGAGTACTAGAGTAGGGGGTTAAGTGAGTTGCTCAGAGTTACACAGCCAGTATGTGTCGGAAGAAGGACTTGAACCTATCTCTTCTTGGCCTTGAGGCCAGCTCTTTTCCCATTGTCCCACAACGCCTTTCGTTTCCCCAAACTATTAATTTTTTTCCTCTGGGTTCATTCTTTTTTCTTATGTGTTTTTACGTTCATCCTCCATTTGCTTCCATTTTCTTTACTCCATTACTTGCCCTTACTTCCATCTTATTTGATGCATTTTTGGAATCTTAGTTGCATGCAAGTCTCTTAAGGAAGCTTAAGCTTTTTCCTCCACACAGTTGTTTCTCCTGAGACCTTTACATCCTCTGAGGCTAGCCTCACTTATAGAGTTGTACTCCATGGGATCCTACCTAACCTTTCTCTGAACCCTTTGAAACCTGTTCTCCTGAGAGAGAAAATGAGTTTCAACTAATATCTGTATTTCCCTCATTGTTTTTAACTTTCATTTTTATCAATTCCTGGTGGCTGTTAGGCTAATTAATTTTAGAATTATGAATTAAAAAAGAGGTGGTGGTGCTAACCTTTGTAGACTCTAATACTTTAGTACTTTAATGGATCTGGGAGCTCAATGAAGTGGGATATTCCCTCCAAATGTACTTTGCAGTCTGTCTTTGCCAGTCCATCTAGTACAGCTTCATTTAAGTTCTCCCATAAACCAGACACAGATCATCCAACATGTTACTGGCTTTATTCATCTTCTTTTCTCTTCACGTTTGTGGACTACGGTGGACTACAGGCTGTCCACTAGTTGTTCTTTGCTATGTGAACAGCCCTTCTTTTTTCTCCTTTGTGCCTATGTCTGATGAGATCCTTTATATGACTTCTACATAATTTCTTGTTTGTAATGTGTTGCTCCCTGCTCTTATCTACCATGTGCTTTTCCATTGTCCTTTGGGTGATCTTTAGCTGCATTTTTCTGGAGATGGAATGGTGTAGTACTACCCATAGTCTGTGTACAGTACCATCAGTTTTGCTTCTAATCTTTCCCCCAGAGTCCCTAGTGATTCCTGTGGTTTTTTTTTTCCTTTTCCTCACAGTGATTCTTAGGTTAGAATGATCTTAAAGTAAAATACAAACCTATCTCTTTTCCTTTATTGCTTTCCCCTTGATGTTTCTCTAAGTAAATTTTTTATCTTTTTTACCTCTTATCACTATCATTTCTGACCAACCTTCTTTTTCCATCTTTTCACTCTGTTCCACATTGGGTACACAAGATAGAAGAATATACAAAGGATCTGTGATTTTGGCACATGTATGAAACTCCTGGTGTAAGAATGTGATAGGACAAATTTGCTTGTGGGATATGTCCAAAAATATATATCTCCATCTGCACTGTCCATCACATCCATCATGTCTTTAATGGAGGTGGATAGCATAGCATGCTTTATCATCGATCCTCTGAAATCATAGCTGGTCATTGCTTTGCTTGTTTTTCAAGTCTCTCAAAGAATAGCAATCTTTTTGAGAAGTTGTTGATAGAGATAAAAGTATGTCCTACTTTATACCAGCAGTATATGAAAGAATGTGAACTAGCAAAATACAGTTTGTGGAATGATTATATTTATGAAAGAATTCTCCACTTAAAAAAAAAAAAGACTTTCTGCAACATTCCATTGGCTAGGAAGCTGCCCTTGAAAGCATTTAAATAGAATTCCATTTACACACATTTATTTGGTGCACAACTTTTTCAGAAACACATTTGTTGTGTAGAATAAGTTATTTATCTGGCCTGGAATGATTTTCAGAGTGGAGGACTGTACTTATCCTTGATGGCTTGGCTTTGCAGATGAACTCATGTGATCAAAACTTGAATTGCTGCTGTGAAATAATTGAACTGAATTCCAGAATACAGGGGCAGCTCTTCACAATCCTCAGTCAAACAGCACAAGAAGGTGAGAAAGGGTTCTATCCCATGCACATACATCATCCATCTACTCTCTTTTCTTCTCTTCCCCGATTTCCAAACATATTAAAATGCATGTCCATGCCTGCAGTCTCTTATGTCTTGACTTATTTATTCTCCTAGGTGGACATTATGCTGGTGTGGAAACAATCAAATCTCGACTTCTGCCCTGGCTAGGGACTTGTTTCTCCAATTCTTCTCTAGGAAAACCCATTGACAACAACGTAAGCCTTTTGCAGGTAGTATATATTAAAAGATAACCCCCGATTTTCACCATTTTCAAACATTTATTGAGTACTTATTATCAGTTAAATGTTCTGATAGGTTCTGTCAGAGGTTAGCACAATGCTTGCTATTGTGCTTAGTAAGTGCTTGGTAAATGCTTGTTGAATTGATTGTAATACACAGCCTCCATTCTCAAGTGGATGACAGTCTATTTGGCAGACAAGACATATACAAATAGTTCTCCCAGGCCTTATACACTAAGTGCCAAATGAGTGGTTCAATGTGTTCTAGGCCTTCAGAAGCTAAGAAGTAGGGTGAATGGAGAAGGCTCCTGCACTTTTGAACAAGAAAAATAAAACTTATTGAAAATTTCCCAGCATATAAAGGCATCTTCCTTTTAGTGACTCAGGAGAGCAGTTCCATAATTATTTATTGCTAGTATAATAGTGAAAGAATGCCAATTTTTGCACAGCTATAGAACAAGGTGGGAAGAAGGTAATTTTCTTTTCTGAAGGAGAGGCAGTGTGGTTGTCAGTGTGGAAAAGAGGGCTATAATTAGTGTTTGGAAACCTGGGTTTGAATCCTGACTCTGACTACTCATTAATTATTTAACAATGGGCAAAGCTCTTAACTTCTCTGACCCTGTTTCCTTACCTACTTTATAGGGTTTTAATGAAGAAGATACTTAGTTAAGTTCTTAATGCATATTATAAAAGTGAGCTGTGATAATGGTAATGATTATGATTATTACAGCTGTGTTTTTGTGTCTGGCAAAGTAAAGCCTTAGTAACTTTTTCTAAACTGTACCAACTTTTATAAAAATATGCTGCTTTATGCATGATTTTCTGAAAATATTTAATAGGGTTTCAGACAGTTTTTGGATTTATTTTTCATTGAAGGAGTCACTTGAAAAGGACAGACAGCTACGAGAACTTTCTGCTGCTCGGGAACGGGAGATACAACAGTTAGATTCAGAATTGAATTCAACTCGTGTTCAACTCAGCATGGTTCAACAAGAGTAAGAGGAAAATAATTTATCTTTTTTAAAGGGAAAATAATTGTTTTTTCATTCAATTACATTAAAAAAATTTTGCTTTTAACCTTGAAATGAAAATTTTGCCCCATAGTTAATATGGTAATGGAAGCTTTGTAGATAAATAATAAGGTTAAGGTGTTTGGGAGATGATAACTTTGAGGTTTAGAGTCACTCAATATTTTCTTAAAATGTGATGATCCCAAACACTATAGAACACCTAGGAGGAGTATTTATTCCATTCTTCTTTCTATAGGACTTTTAGCCATCTCTGGGTAAAAGAGGGTGGGGTAAAGACTGTCTTATGAGATTCAGGAGCACTTGGGATTAAAAAATAACAAACACAACTGAAGGGTAGGGGTAAGAGATGAGGAAGGGAGTGAGAGCAAAAGGAAGAGAGAAAAGTAAGTCTTCATGATGAGTTTATGTAGCAGCTTTGGCCGATTGGAGAACCATGTGATTGAATGATGTCAAATCCTTGAAAAAAAGTCAAAATTTTAAAAAGTTTACAGTTTTTAAAAAATCATGTAAGAAAAATTATTTAGGTAGTGTCAACCGAAATTTATCAAATACTTGTAAGATATTGTGGAAAGAGGAAAAGAGAATAGTAGAGCTTAGCCTTAAAGAGTTCATAATTTAATGGCAATGAAGAGACATATATATGAAATATATAAAAATTATAATAAAATATGTATAACCCTTCCTTTCTACTACAATATTTCCATATCATTTATAATGGAATACTTTTTAACCAATTATAGTTTGTGATAAAAGAGAACATGGTACCCTGATATAAAATTTAAAAACATATATTAGAATATTACTTGAAAAGCCAAATTAGAAACATTTTACAAGAATAACTTCTCCCTTGAAAGACTGATGACTTCTGCAAAGTATGTCTGCAAGCTTGGCTCTGCTAATGAGTGAAAGGTCCACAAGGGGATTAATCAATTAATCAAGCAAGCAGGCAAACACTTATTAAACACCTATTATGAATGAGGCACTGTACTAGGTACCATAAAGCTTTGATTTAGAAAGAAGATCAGAGAGCAAAAGCCATTTTTGGAACAATGTGGAAGGGGAGAGAGGTGCACTAGAAGAAGAGAGCACAGGACTTAGTTTTAGGATCCTGGGGTTACTAGGTCTGATATCAGCATAGGGTATGGGTGGAAAAGACAATCTCTTATCCCCAGAGCAGAGTCAATTGAGATAATTTTGTTAGGAGAATTTACTTAGTCATGCCAATGAGGAGAGTAGAGAAATGGGTTGAAGCAAGAACTTTTCTCTGAGTGTGTGATATCCCTGCGACCATGTCCAGTGCTGGTCATTTCTCTTAGGGCACCTGACTCTTAAAAATTCTCAAAACGTTTTGATATCATCTACTGCTGTGGCAAGTAAAAGCCATGACTGAGGAAACAAAGGTTCAAGCTTCTGAGCATGTCAATTTATTTATTTTTATTTTTATTTTATTTTTTTGTTTTTGGGCAATTGGGATTAAGTGACTTGCCCAGGGTCACACAGCTAGTAAGTGTCAAGTGTTTGGTCTGAGGCCGGATTTGAACTCAGATCCTCCTGACTTCAGGGCCGGTGCTCTATCCATTGCATCACCTAACTGCCCCTAGCATGTCAATTTATTAAGCAATGCATGCCAATTGGATAACAAATCGGGACTAGTCACCTTCCTCAGCTTTGGCAGTGGACCCTAAATACAGAGGGAGACAGACTTTTATACATTAAAAACAATCAAATAAGATCATTTAATTAAAAGAAAAAAATTAACCAGGGTACAAAATTTAGGTAATCTGATTTCTAATTGGAGGAAAGATTAGGGACTTTCCAAGTTGATAAAATATGTGTATATGTATATATATATATACACATGCATGTATACAACTATATGTGTACATATGTATGCAAACACACACATATATATGTAAAGAGATTATAGTTAAAGTCACATTATATATCCAGCCCCAGTATTTCCCCTGAGCTTCAGTCCTGTATCATTACTTGCCTATTGCCCATTTCAAATTAGAAGTCCTAGAGACATCTCAAACTCAACATGTCCAAAACTGAACTTATGCTTCCTCCAAAACCCTCTCTTCTTCTAAATTTCCCTATTTCATTTGGATGTACCACCATCCTCACAAGTCTCCCAGGGTCATAACCCCAGCATTAGCCTCAACCCCTCCCTTTCCTTCACCTAGTCAGTTGCCATATCTTACCATATATCTACCTTCACACCATCTCTCACATTGCTCCACTCACCAGCTAATACCTTAGTTCTCAGCTCCTCAACACCTCTAGCCTAGTTTATTGAAACAGCCTTCTGATTGGTCTCCCTACCACAGGTCTCTTACCACTATGGTCCATCCTCCATATTGCTGCTAAAGTGATTCTTTCTAAGTGGAAATTTGACCATGTCACCCCCCTACTCAGTCAACTCCAGTGGTTCTCTATTGCCTCAAGGATAACATAAAATTTTTTGTTTAGTTTTAAAAATCCTTCGTAACTTGACCCTAACCTATCTTTCCATCCTCATTGGATATTATTTCCCCTTCCTTCACTCTGTGATCCACTCTGTTTTCTCTTTGCTCACATCCAGTACTTCCCCTCCTGTCTCCTGGCCTTGGCACTGGTTGTCCCCGTGCCTGGAATGTACTTCCTCCTTGCCTCTTTCTCAGAGTCCCTTTCTTCCTTCAAGATGCAGTTCAAGAATCATCTGTCTAAAATTTTTCCTGATTCCCCCAACTTGGTAGTAATGCCTTTCCTCTAAAACTACCATATGTTTGGCCACTTTATACATACATACATACATACGTGCATACATGTATAAATATTTTTTACACTTGTTTACTTTACATATTTACATGTGTACTTGTCTTCTTCCCCATTAGAATATGAGTTCCTCAGCAGTTGGGGATTATTTCATTCTCTGTACTTACGTCCCCAGTGCTTAGAAAAGTGACTTGCATATTATAGGTGTATGATAAAAACCAGGGCAGCTAAGAGGCACAGTGTATAAAGTGCTGGGCCTAGAGTCAGGAAGCTTGTCTTCATGAGTTCAAATCTGGCCTCAGACACTAAATAACTGTGTGACCCTGGACAAGTCACTTAACCCTGTTTGCCTCAGTTCCTCATCTGTAAAGTGATCAGGAGAAGGACATGGCAAATCACTTTCTTTGCCAAGAAAACCCCAAATGGGTTGGTCACAACTGAAATGATCAAACAACAACAACAAAATACTTGTCAGGGGTAGAGTTGGCATTTATTTTGCTCAGCTCTCTAATATCTTAATATCTAATATCTTAATTCAATCTTTTTTTTCTTTGAAATTAATGCTATTTATATACCACCTTCTTTTAATCTTTATTTATACCTATTATATTCTGAGCTCCATAATACTTTCTCCTTCTTAGTCTCTTCCTTTCTACTTTGGCCTCATATAGCCAGCCACAGTTGTTATCATTGGCAATTTCATTATTCATATGGAGGGTTCTTTTATGATCCTTGACTCACATTTTGTCAAATCCTTCAACAATCATGCACCTGTATCATTATTTTACTTTATTAATTCATAGGGACAGTTTGTCACACTCCTTTAGACATCACTATCACATGGAGCTGCACCATATCCTCTATGAAACATATATCTGACTATAATCTCCTGTCCTTCCACCTTTCTTACCCCCTCATTCTTCTTAAAATCTACTCTTAGACCTTTTCCTGACCTTTGATGTTTTGAATTATTCTCTATCTTTTCTCTTAGTCCTTTATCCTTTTTTCTTTTTTGCTTCTTTTCCTACCCAGTCTTAATCTAATGGTTATCCTCTTTCTATCCCTGAATCCTTTTGTGATTCCACTTTTTCTTCTCTGCCAATCCCCATTTTCCTTATTTCAAAACTAAATATTGGTTTAGGAATTTATGACACTGTGCTGCCTGTATTCATTACAAATGTATGCATTCTAACCTCAATTAGTCCTTGGGTGCTCCATGAAAACCTTCTTATTAATTTCTTATGACTTCCCTATCACATTTACTATATCAGCTATTCCAAACCCTTTCTGATCTCCTCAAACCCTGAGCTCCATTTGAATTTTCTTCTCTTTCAGAAAATTACCTTGTCTCCCACTTTACTGGAAAAGATGAAGGCTACTCAATTACCTTCTTCAACTTCCCTCCTCCATACCTCAAAAAACCCCTATATTTTTGCATATTTTCTCCTCCTTCCCTCTTGTCTTAGAGGATAAGTTAGTTACTCCTTCTCCTTACCAAATTTAACTCTTCCCTTTATGCCTCCAATTCCATCTTCTCCCATTTTCTTTAGGGTCTTGTTCCATCAATTATTTATTTTCTCTTTTTAATCTTTAATATCTTTCTCTTTACTAGCTCCTTTTTCTTTATCCACAAACTTTCTCATGTCTCTTCTTTCCTTAAAAATAGCCATGTCTCCTTAAAAAATGCTTCTTTTGACAATGTAACTCCCAATGTAACAAGCTAACATCTTTTTCTTTGTCCTGTCTTTCACTGTACGTATCTAGAAAAAGTAGTCTAGTACCCTTACTACCTTGATTTTCTTCAGCTACTCATTCCTCAACTCCTTGCAATCTGACTTCTGTTCTTAACCAGTCTATTGAAACCGCTATTCAGAAAAGTTGGCATACCAACAGCTTTGCAAATTGAATGCAGTACAAAGGAGCTATCATAAAGTTTAGTAGATCTAACATCAAAAGAGGTAACATCAAGATTAAGACTTGGCAAAAGGAGGTCAATTAGTAGGAAGGGGGAGCTAAGAAAAAGTAGCCCTAATTCCCTGTAGTTGGTATATAGGAAGAAGATTTATTCATAAGAAGCTTTTCTGCTTATAAATGCTACCCTTTTCATTTTTATTATACGCACTTTGTATTTTTCTCTTATAGTAATTCAGTACTTCAAGGATCTGTGCTATCATGTGGGTTCTGCTGTCAGTGATACAGATTGCAACCCTTCTATAATTTAGTAGATGATCTTCAAGAATTATTGTGAGTGAAAAACTCATAAACCCAAAGCCAACCTGATGATGAGTCTCTAGACTTAGCAAAGCTGGTCCTCATCTGTACTCCATCACTAGGCCCATGCTCACAGCCTTTTCAGTCTGACACAGGACCTGTCAGGACTTGGAGTCAACTAGAATAGCATTTGAAAACCCAGGGTCCTTTCTATACCATGAAAAAGATTGGAGGAATACTTTACAGGAATTTCCCCTTAAAGCACTCCGTGGAAAATCTTTGTAATTATCTGTAAGGAAGAAATGCTGCTTTTAAGGAGGAAGTAAGAGAAGGGGGGAAGTGAGGAGAGGAGAAAGATACTGTATTCTCCTCTGGTACCAGGTGGGAACAGAGAACCCAACAAACAGATGGAAGATATTGTCAGCAGACAGTGTCTTGCTGACACAAAAGAGAAGCAGCATCTACCATAAAGAGGGGTCATTATTGGAAACCAACAGGAAACAAAGAGTTTGAATGTTTAGGAAGACTAGGAAGTTACAGTAGGCATGGGTGAAGCAGAAAAGTGTTGCCATACTAGAAGATCTAGGGATTAGTAAAGTGATATGTGATGGCCGTTTTAAAGTTAGGAACAAAACTATTGGTCAGGAAATGAACAATTGAAACAATTAGAGGGGCAAGATAGAAAGAAGGATTGGACAAATATAGTCTTTATTGTGTGTGCTGTATTCTTTTCTTATTAGTATTTGGGGTAAAATGGAAGCTCAGGTATTTTCTAGCGTAGTTGTTTTTGTTTACCAAAGAATGTTAGTATGTGTTTGCACAGAAACCTACTATGATATTTTTACTATGAATACAGATGTCTATTCACAACTGGGTCTTTTTGTTTCCTGATTCAGTGACGTTTTGGGAAGAACTTGTGCTTAATTTGGAAGGTCTACCGATTTTGAAAATCTGTCCTCAGTTACTGATTTCTCTTACAGTCTGGCAGAAACTGAGATGGATCTTGAAGACACCAAGACCAAATCAGCTACAGCCCTTTTGGCTGCAGAGGATGAAATAATTCATCTAAAGAATCAGTAAGAAAAATTTGCCTCAGCTGTATTTGGTGGTGCCCTGTTGCTTAAACTTTGCCTTGCCAATTCTTGAAGTATCTATTTCTGTTCTTCATTATTCTCTGGTCTTGTGGAATAACGGTCAGTCTTACTAGCAAATAATAGATGAATAGTAACCTTTAAAAAAGTAATAATTGTTCAATCAGAGCTATAGTTTAGGTGGCTATGTGTCAAACAAAGTAGTTTTTCCCCTTTTCCTTCTATTCCTGAGCCTGAGGTATTGCAGTTTTAGCCCTCAGTAAGAAATTTAAAGAATAATTTTAAAAATCTAGACCAGTCTAGAGAAATGATGATGTGGAAACTCCCTCCAGTGATGCAGATTAGAAACTCTTTGTCATCTTTCCTCTTAGGCAGTTTCAGTCTTCCTCTTTGCCACAGGGAAGCTTTCTTTAATTGTTGTTTCATACGTTGCCTGATCTGACTTTTCTGATTGTAATGCCTAAGCAGTCCCTTTACATGTTTCCTTCTTGTATGGCTGTTCTTGAATTGTGGCAGTTATGGCTGTAAAATGACTTCTTTGAAGTTGTTCAAGGTATTTATCCAGATAAGGAAGAGCTCAGTTGAGAAATTTAAAGACCTTCAATAGTTATCAGTTCATGCCTAACAGATATAAGATTAAAATTCATTCAAGGGTAAAATCATACACTTCTTTCCTCTAGCCCCTTTTCACTGATTTTGATAAATATTCATAATAAAGTTCTGGAGGCCAGACTCTTTCACAGTGGTGTTCAGTGAAGGCTGCTCTAACCTAGAGCAGAATAGCCAAAACAATGCAATATCCTTAACTCTATATGGACTTCTAGTTGGCCTTACACTGTTCTGACGTGACATCAATCACGTAGGTGAGTATCCTCTGTAGAAAAAAAAATCCATTCATTCTGAGTTATAAATGTGGAATGGTGTTCTGATTCCTAGGTTTCCTTTCACTTCTTACCTTTTGCATTGCTCATCTGCATTTTCATAAAACTATTATTATTCAGTAGGGCTCTGGTTAGTGGAGCTACTGCTACCACTAAGCATGCATGCTATTGCTCATCGAATTTTTTTTCCTTTGTGTTTAAGACTCAAGTCTCTCCAAGCCCAGGAGGAGTCCCGCCAACATAGCTTGGCTATGGTAACTGACTATGAACGACAGCTTCGAACTCTGAAGGATGAGATTGCTGTCCTGTCTGCAGAAAAATCTGTTCTGCAGAGCAGGTCTGTGATTCAGCCTGACACATGCTTCTAAATTCTCCCATTATGGGAAATATTTCAAAATTAAATTTTAATGTTGGAGAGACAACATGGAAATATGGTAGGATCTGAAGTCAAGAGACCTACATTTCAGTTCTGGCTCTTCCATTTACTTTCTGTGTGATCTTATGCAAGTTACAATCTCTTTGAGTCCCAGGTTCTATAAAATGAGGATAATAATGCTACCTGTCTCACAGGGTTGTTGGAAGGAAAGCGCTTTGTAAATTGAAGCACTCTGTAAGTTTGGTATTATCATTATGTCAATGAAATAACTTTTTGTTACCATATTTTATTTGAATTGATGCTAAAGGAGACAAAATGGCGACTGTCTGGCTTTTGGGTAGAAGCATAAGCAAAATTATGTCTTTATAATATTATAGTATTATATAACTCAAACAACTTTTAATAAAAGGTTGTCTCTGTCTACATTCTACTAAAAGGTAGAGGAGCACCAAGATCAGTGCAGCATGCTTGCGCTAGCCGACCTATGTCCTAAGCCTTGCTGGCACCACAAGGCAGGAGGTATTAGGGAGGCCCATTGCACTACAGTGGGAAGGAGGTAAAGAGAGAAACTATGTACAGGAGTTTCTTTCCACTTGGGAAAATATATTTTATGTGTTTAGGAAGCCTAGGAAGTTAGTCACAAAGGCATGGGTGAAGAAGACAAGTGCTGCCTTGGGAATTTTATGCCAACATTGAAGCTAAAGGAATGAGTCAGAGAATTATACTTTGTAAAACTCATGACTTGAAGCCAGACTTGAAAGCCTAAACTCAGAGTGCAAGGAGGCCTTTGTCTGGTGGGTTCCCATTTCCAAAGGCCTCTGGGCAATATGGAGGGACTTTTTGTGGGGCTTAGGGACCCATTCTATAAAAGGAATGATCATTTGGCCATACTTCTTGAGAGACCCTATCCCTTCTAGATCTGAGCGATTTCTGACCCTGTCTTTGTGTTATATCTTTTCTCTTATGTTTAGAAACTTAAACAAAGTTGTTAACTCCTTGGCCTAGCATTCTTGGCTCTTGACTGTCTGTTACTAACCGGTTTTTGTAGCAGGATCAAATACAATTTCAATCCATGACCTCCACACTCCAGACAAACTCCAGACAAACAGGGTACTTACTGAACCATGAATACATCTCAGGTTTTCCTGTACCCATGCTTTTGCTCATTCCTTTTCCCTGCCTAGAACATGCTTCCTTTTCCTTTCCATTACTTCTCTCCATCTACTCCTGTTGAAATTTTCCTTACCCTTCAAGATGTAGCTTAGGTGCTACACCTACTCTACAAAGCTTGCCCCAATCTCTCCCAAACAGGAATTGAGCTTTTCCCCCAGAGAGCTCTTACAGCACCTTGTTTGCACTTCTTTAATGTACTCATTTTATTTTGTATTATAATCACTTTACATGTCTTATATTCCTTAATAATGACAATAACAACTATAATTTATATAATGCTTTAAGATTCACAAAATACTTTTCCCCACAACAACCCTGTGAAGATATGGAATACAAATATTATTATCCCCATTTTATAGATGAGTAAACTGGGACTCAGAGAGGGTAAGTGACTTTCTTACAGCCACTGGAACTCAAACCAGGTCTTCTAACTCTGAGTCCAGTGTTCCTTCCACCACTACCATGTTTTCCTGCTAAAGGCAAAGACTAGTTCTTCTTTATCTTTTTATTTCCCTCAGTGCTATGTGCCATTAAATAAGCATTTAAGAAATATTTGTTGTATTGAATTCAAGTAAAATCAAGTGAATAGGACATATTGGGGCCCAAGTAAGATAGATTTGTCTTTGGACCATCTTTATTTTTTGACAAACTCCATTCTTCTCCTGGCCCTACACACCTCAGTTGCCTCACCTCTAAAATAAGGATTTTGAACTAGATGGCCTTTAAGGTCCTTTCCATATCTAAATCTATAAGTCTATGTGTAAGGGGAGGGAGCTGGTACCCAGGGCACAATGTGCTGTTGACTAAGAGTTCTTAAATGCTTTTAATATTTCTTCTCTGACAGACTCACCAGGAGCCGGTCTCCTAGCCCTGATTCCCAACGCAGCAGGGCTTCCAGTCCCGTTCAAAAAGAGATGCCCCTGTCACCTCTAGCCAACAGACTGAGCTCTGTCTCACGCAAAGCTAATCTTCTGGCCCGTTTCAGTGATGCATATACTCAAGGCCGAATAGAGGCACAGACCTTGCTTAAGAGATACATTGATAAGATGGAAACGGTGCAGAGGATCATCTATATTGCCACAGTGGTAAGACATAAAATTACTGGGTTGTAGATGTCTTTGCTGACAGTTTGTATATAGTGTGGTATTAACTAACAGTGTTTGGAAAGGCTAGTAGATCATTAATTTATCAAAGATATTCTTTTCTTCCTTCCTTCCTTCCTTTCTTCCTTCCTTTCCTTTCATCCTTCCTTCCTTTCTTCCTACATTCTTTCTTTCTCCATGATGTATTTATGTATATTTGTACGTGTATATATATGTACACATATGTTTAATTCTGTAGACTTTTAGTTCTTTAAGAAACATGATATTTTCTAGTCCAACCCATTCATTATACAAATGAGGAAAGTGAAACCCGGAAAGATCAAATGGTTTGACCAAAGATATGCAGCTAGTTAATAGTAGAACAATATGATTTCCTAATCTTTCTTTATTAATAGTATGATTCTTGTTTGGGTTCACATCAGCTACCACTACTAAGCAAATGCTTCTATAAGCTAGATGATTTATTTCTGTCTCTCCCATAAACTATATTGCAATTATTGACAAACAATATAAACTTTAGATTACTGTCAACTGCCTTGAAATCCACTAAATCTCATAGCCTTTTCGTTGTGTACTTTTTGATTCAGGGATAGAGGCTTTGTTGAAACCCCTGAAATTTCTTCTCTTCCCCAAACTTCTTTTAAACATCTTGGTTAAGGTCAACAGGAATTCAAAAAAGTATTTTGTTTTGATTATGGTTGTTTTGTAGCCCCTGCTTTACCATCCCATTCACTAAGAAGAATATATGGCATTTTTTAATGTGCAGGAGTCTTTCCATGTAGCTAAGATGGCATTCAGACACTTCAAAATACGTGTGAGGAAGACTTTAACACCAGGTCATATTGGGATAGAATCTATTGAGGACATTGTCATGGATTACATAATTTGTCATCTTGATTTATATGACGTTCAAAGCAGCGTTAACGTAAGTGCTGGAAATTTTTAACAAGATGAATATACTCTGTTAATGATGTCATTAGCTAGAAGATAATCTATATAACCATAAATTTATCTTATTTTTAAAACACACCTCTGTTTTATTTTATTTTTTTTTTGGCTAGCCAATGGAGTTAAGTGACTTGCCCAGGGTCACACAGCTAGTAAGTGTTATGTGTCTGAGGCTGGATTTAAACTCAGGTCATCCTGAATCCAGGGCCAGTGCTCTATCCACTGCGCCACCTAGCTGCCCACATACCTCTGTTTTAGAAGAGAGAGGAAGTAAACATCTAAATTATTTGTTGCTATACTTATAACATGAATATATGTATGCATATAGTAATAGGTTTGCTAGGCATTTATTGACTTCTGCTTTCTTCTTTGGAAGTTTTATAGGATTAAATTGACCATAGTTCATATTCTTAAGATAAGTTAATGAACAAGATCTTCAGTATAGGCAAATCATGCATTTACCTAGGATGGCAAAATAAAGGTAATGGTAAGAAAAAAAGTCACTTGCCTGTATTCTTCATTTAGCACTGCATGATCTGGGCCTATCACTGTCCTTCCTTCTTTGTTCCTTGCTACAAGAGTAGGTAGTAGTTAAGGTACAATTTCCATTCTTTTTCTAAATGCATTTTCTTTTTCTCTTCACTATAGCCCACCCAAGTGGCCTATTTTTCTCATCTCTCACATATGTCAAAGTTCTAGGAAATCATAATTTCTTGCCACAAGTAAATGATGAGAATAAGGTCTTTTTTATTTTCAGGATGTGATTCGTGCCATGAATGTGAACCCCAAGATTTCTTTTCCACCTGAAGTTGAGTTTGCCATTATTAGCTGCTTCATCAAGGAGATATGCTGTATTGCTTTTGCAATGCAGACTTTGGATCCTCCCCTAGATATTGCATTTGGTGCTGATGGAGAGATTTTTAATGACTGCAAGTAAGAAAACTTAGGTGCAGAAATAGAAGCTAAAAAAGCTAAGAAATACTTCACAAATCAATTAGAGCATAGCTTCTGAGTCAATGTGGGGCTGCTCCTAACTTTGGGAAAGTGTTGTTTTGAGTAAAGAGCATTGATAAGGGGAGTCAAAAGACATAGATTGACTCTTAGGCTTGTCCTGTCTTCTTATTACTGTTATTACAGCAATAAGTATGATAATTAATGCTATTATAAACCACTTCACCTTGAATAGAGTTTTTTCCTTAATTAAATGGGATTGAATTGTTGTGGTGAAAGTATAACTCATTGGGAGATAGTGTGGATTAATGGGTATCTGATTGAAGTATGTTAGAAGAAAGGTACTGCATAAATACACAATTGTATTATTGAATATTTACTGTATCATCTAGAGCAATGATTCCCAACAATTCCAAGATTATAATTACCTATTTTAGTTTGATATTCCAGTTTCCCTTCCTAAAAATTCTCTATGATGGGCTTTTCTTTCAAATAAGTAGAAATTAAAGCTAATTTTGTCTTGAACATTTTAAAATCTGAGTTGAACATTTAAATCTTACCTCTCCAGATAAATGGGATCTCTCTAAGTTGTTACTGAACCAGAATTGTCAATCACAGTTCTAGGTCTTTGTTCAGTTTTTAGGGTTTTACTAACCCTTAATGGCTTCTCTAGCCATACATGATCAGAGCTCATGTAAGGGGAGAATAAGTACTCCTTCATGCCACATACAACTCACAGGAAAGATGGATTTCATTGTACCTATTATATCTGTTTTGTAGTTGCTGCCATTGCTACTCCTAGTTTTCAATCAATGTCTAAGTTTCAGATAATTTTTCTTTTGCTTGTTTTGCGAGGCAAAACAATGTAATCTTCTTAATATTAAAAATGCAATCTTCCTCATTCCTTTTGTATAAATCTCTCCTTAGGGAAATTTACAACCCAGAATCATCTACAAACTTCTTAGAATCATAAAATTATGGAATATTCAAATTACAAAGGGATCCCAGAGGCCATGTAGTCCAACATTTCTCCCAGGGTGGAATCCCTGACAGAGGCTTTACTGACTTTTGATTAAATACATCTAGTTGAAAGAAAGCTCCCTGACACTCAAAGTAGACCATGACACCATTAGACATATCTGCTAGTTAGAAAGTTCTTCTGTATGATGAGCACCTACCTGCTGCTTTATACCTTTCACCCACTGATCTTGGCTCAATCTACAGTAGCTAAGGAGAAGTCAGTGACTTTTATGTTATTTCCCTCAGTTTTTTTTTCTTCAAGCTAAACATACCTATTCATTTGAACTATTTCTCAATAGATATGCTTTAAAGATTGCTCACCATCCTGGTCATTCTATTGTGTACATGCTCCACTTAATTGTACCTAATAGTACATATTGCCTCACATCTGGTCCCAGAAGTACAAAACTTACTTATGTTGTTTATTTTTCCTTATCTAGCTAATTAATATAATTATTAATATAATGCTATTATATATTTTATATAATAAAGAATTAATATAATGATATTATAAGTCAGTTTAAACTAGAAGTGACTCTGGTGGTGATCCATTATGGATTCATTCCAGTTTCACATTATTCTCAGCTTATCTTTATTTACTATGATAAAATTCTCATACATGTGTTTAAAATAGGTATCGCCGCAGCTGTGACTCTGATTTCACGGCTCCCTTGGTCTTCTATCATGTGTGGCCTGCTCTGATGGAGAATGAAATTATCATTATGAAGGGAGAAGCCGTCACCAAGAGAGGGGCTTTTGTACGGTGTCATTGTGGAGTCGAAATTCATCGAATCTGTTTGCGTCACAGATTCATGGCACTTTTTGTACCCAGACGAATTATGTTCCATTGATTCCACAAAGAATTTCATAAAAACAATCATTTTAAAAGGTTTCACGTAAAGGGGAGGAAGTATGTGGTTCAATGGATAGGCTAGAAGACAACTAAGTCTGTTCTTTGGCTCTACCACCGATTCACCATGTTTTCCTGGGCAGTAAGCTTCCCCATCTATAAATGGGAGAAGTAATATACCTTCACCCTCTCAGGAATATTGCGAGATTATATAGGCAAAGTCCTTTGACCCATGCTGTAATGGAGACCCTGTGTAGTCCTATTCATTTTTAAATTATCAATTAATCTTAAGGATTTTGCCCAAATCTTTATATCACTTAATTCCAAGAAATCATGAATCTGATCATATTTCCCCCTCCTTTTTAGTGAGGAGGTGAGGGCATGAGAATTGAAGCTAATGTAACTCATGGATTCATTGCCTCCTGTGCACAAGCATTCTGTTCTGTGCATGATTTTCGCACTTGGTCACCAAAATGGGGTTTGATTGGGAGAACCTTGATGGGTTTCATTGGCGGTTGTGAGTGTGTGGATATTCTGTATAATGTCCATCATATAGTTTGTATCACTGTGCTTCCTGGAAAGCATTGTCAGTTTTGTGGTGGAGAGTAAATTTCTCCTAGTCATTACATAAGAGCACAGAAGATAGCCTCTGTTTCTATTTTCTTTGAATTGGTAGATGGGGAGGGTAATGACCACAAGGGGATATCTGGATAACAAGGGGAGAATTAAACCCAATAAGTTTATTGCAGAATTTCAATTTGTAATGAATTAAAGGGAGTTTATGAAGCATATTATGGATAAAATCCCATTATGTGAATATAATTACAGTAAAGGGTTCTAGATAGCAAAACCATTTCCATGTTTCAGTGAGACAGAAATAGAAAAGAGATATTGTTGAACTGGTTGTAATAACCTTTATATACTGAAAGACCCTATGCAACAAATGTTCCTTCCAATTCCTGCCTTGTAATAAAGCACCTGTTTGCATTGCAGAAGGAATTAGAGAGATATTTGATGGTCCTCATGTTCAAATAGCAATAAGTTTTAAAATTCACTTACCTTTCTCACATCAAAGATCAGAACTTGTTACTCTTTAAATTCCTAAAACAAAATGACATTAAACAAATAGATGAAACTTTGAGGAATATGAGATTAGTGGGATGGAGGATACCACCACCTCCCTTTTTCTTATCAAAAGTATTTCTTTTCCATTTGTTAATTAGCTGTATTTCCTTATGTTATAGACTGTGAATGTAATTTCTAGTAATTGACTCATTTTAACAAAATTATACTGGCACAAAGAAATTGGATGTCCCTTAGAGTTCTTTGTAATGGGATTTTATCAGAGAAACACTACAACCTGTTACTAAATATAGTATTTGATAGTTATAGGAAACAAAAGTGGTATAACTTATACTGATGGTCAGTAGTAGAAGACTGGTATCATCAATAACAATTGTATCCAAAGCTATTCCCATACCTAGCGTTAAGTTGTGTTGTTACTTTTTCACAACCATGTGACTTTTTCTTTTCTGTCCTCTGATATAGTGGTCATCTGTGAAATGTGTCAACAGAAGTAGGAGTCGAAGTCTAAGCCCTGTCCCTCAGCATGGTAGCCCGTGTAAAAGTGGGGTATTTATCACTCTAATCATCTTAAATTCTATGAAACTAATTTTTATGTTGAGGAGTCAGTAACTTCCATTCCTTTAACAGTCCTTATAGGAAAATCAATAGTTATGTTGGTCTGAGTATTGGCCAAACTTTCCCCACGTCTGGTCTGTAAAAAAACCTGTGCTTATAATCTCACTCTTTATTTTTTTTCCCTTTTTAGGTAAAAATTAGTAAAACATTTTATTTGAATTGAAAGAAATGTAAAATAATACATTTCACTGTGAAATATACTTTAACATAATAATTTTGTATAGTTTTCAGTTTAATGTCTATGAATGTATGTATGTATATAAATATATACATATGTCTATGTATGTGTGTGTACATATATATGTTAAACATATATATACACACATAGAGATAATGTATTTTCAAAAGGTTCTCATGTTAGGGTTGCAGTATATATTCTAGGGAAAAACCTCTGTTTGGATCAATATAGTGTCCATCTATGGGTAGAGCAATAATTTGCCAAGCTAGCATGAGGCACTGACTTTGGATTCCAAGGATCAATGTTCAAGTTCTGCTTTTGCCACTATTTGCATAACCCAGAGAAAGCCATCTCATTTCCTGGGGCCTTCAACAAAGTCAGTTCAGCAATAGGTGCCTACTGTGTATACAAGGCCCTGTGAGGGGTAAGACACATACATAAGGTGGGTATGAGTCAAGGTAGAGAAAGGAGGAGGACAAAAGAAGAGTCTATACCAAATGCTATGATAAACATGAGAGAGAGATCACTTTCAGCTTCATGGAGAAGGTAGCAGTTGAGCTGGGTCTTGCAGGGAGCAAATGATTTCAACAAATGGAAGTGAGGAAGGAGTGTATGTTCCAGATAAGAAGTGGGAAAAGGCAAGACAAGAGTAAAGAATGACTAGTAGCATAGTTTGTCTGTAACACAGCATGTACTAAGGAGAGTAGGAGGATAGAAATCTGGAAAGATAGATGGGAGGCAGATTGTGGAGGGCAGGATCAGATCCTAAAGTGGGCAGCATAGGAGTGCACATTGAATTTATTATGCAACACATGAAAGTTTTTGTTTTTTTTTAGAACTGTCATTTTTATTATATTACCTCAGCTTAGCCATGAGCAACTGATGTTTTTCCAATTATTTAGATTTGACTTTATTTGTGTGAAGAGTGTTTTGTAATTGTGTTCATATAGTTCCTGGGTTTCTTTCTTTTTGTTTGTTTTTTGCTAGGCAATGGAGTTAAGTGACTTGCCCAAGGTCACACAGCTACTAAGTGTCAAGTGTCTGAGGCTAGATTTAAACTCAGGTCCTCCTAACCCCAGGGCCAGTGCTCTTTCCACTGCACCACCTACATGCCCCAACACATGAAAGTTTTTGAGCAGGAGAATGATTTCTCAAATCTGTGCAATAGGAAGATTATTTTGGCAGTTATATGAAGGATAGATTGGAAGGAGAGACCTGTGGAAGGGAGACCAGTTAGGAAGCTATTGAAATAGTCCAAGTGAGAAGTTTGTGGGGGTGGCCTGGAGAGAAGGAGTTGGGTGTCAGAGATGTTGAGAAAGAAAGCGCTGATATAGCTTCACATTTGATCATGTGTGGGGACTGTGAGGGAGGAGAGGAGAAAGTCAGAGAAGGCTGAGATTTTGCTCCCAGGTATCTTGGAGGATTGTGGTACCATCAACAGGAATGCTGCTGTTTACTGTTCTACAGAGAATGGTTTATAAACCTAGCAAGAATCAAATTTACTCCACCTCCCCATTAGATTTTAATACCTTTTGTTCTAATTTTTGAATGAAAATCATACATAAAATAGAGATTACATTATCTTGGGTTCTCTTGGGCCCTAGTTCCAGTTTCCTCTTTAACTTACGTACATGAACCTGGAAAAGCCGTCTAAATAGATTGATTTGTACTTTTATGACACATCTTTTTAATAGTTAATAAAGCAACTTAGTAATAGCTAACATTTATGTAGTGCTTTAAATTTGCAAAGCATTTTACCTGTTGTTTTATTTGATCTTCATAACAACACCATGAGGAGTGTAGGGGCTATTATTATCCTCATTTTACAGATAGGGAAACTGAGACACAGAGAAGTGACTTGCCCAGGGTCACAAAACTAGTTAATATCAAAGATAGGCTTTGAACCCAAGTCTTCTTGTCTCCAACTCCCTTGCTCTATCCTCTGGGCCCCATAGCTGCCTCAATTTAAGACAAACTAACATTAAGTCTCCAGTTTAAAAAATATATATATATATATGTATATACACACACATATATTTCTATTCCATAGAGTCTAGCAAGAGCTACAACTGGTAAACAATTTTAGAGCAAAAAATATTTCTGAATAATAATTATATATAATAATATATAATATATAAGAATAATTCAGAATAATTCTGAAGTGCTTTGGAGCCACTCTTTATCTGGTATTAGGAAAAAAACAACAACTGTGTTATAAGCTTAAATCCCATCAATCATTGGCCTTTTGTTGTTGTTCTATGCTTTGTAGGCATCAAGAAGCCGAAGCCCTTCTCCATCAAGAGATATCCATACAAGTAAGTGGAGATTAGATTAATTTAGATTAGCTAAATTCTTCAAACACTTCCTAGCTCTGTCAGTCTCAGAATGTGTCTTTTTTGATGGATGGCCCACTCCAGTTGTATTTCTCAGTGATGCTAATGTTCCTGGTTGACACAGGCAGTGTCTTAAGAGGTAGAAGGCAGAAAACTTGGATTCCAGTCCTTGCTCCGCCACTGACTTCCTTGTTGGCTTTGGGACTTAGGACAAGTCATGGAACCTCTTGGAGCTCAATTTTGGGGGTCACATAAGATACGTAGGTGAAAACACTTTGTAGACTGGACAGTGCTATATAACCATAATAAACATGGGCATTATTATTCTCATGTCTTCTGCTCTTGACCATTTGCTAATGTCGCAGAAGCAGACAATCGTGCTCATCCCTTAGAGCTGCGTAAGGTTCTCTAAGGTATGAAGAGTCTTCAGCAAAGACAGTCTGGCTACTACTCTGGGAGATTGCTATGAACCTAGCGTCTTCTTCTTTCATTTCACGCATGCTAAAAGAAATGAAAAGGAAGTGACAACTCTGACCATGTATGTTTTTCTCCACTAGGGTTTTAAGTTGACTGGAAGTGTTGCTTTGCTCCTGTCCGTCTGGACAAATCAACGCCAGTGGTGCTTCCTTCTGTCCTAAGAGTTCTTCAAACCTCACTTAAAATAATGTGAATGGCAATTCTGTATCACTCGAAGGGGAGAGTTAAATTTTTTTTTTGGCCTAGTGTGTTTTGATAACTTTAGATATATTGCTTTTTTATATCTTTTTTTTAAAGAAATTAATTCAGTTAATTTGATAAAAATGCATAGGTGTTTATGATCATATTCATTTGATACAATGCTTACTCCATAGTTTCAGGAACTCCATTGTTAAATACCATACTGTATTTTAGCAAACTCTAGAAACAAAGATAAAAACATCTTAATTGATCAACGTTTAGCCAATTCGAAACAACACAACAGGACATTTAGTTTCACAGTCCAGTCATAAACATCACATGTGATCAGACTAATTTTAAAACAATGTTATCACATGATGCCTTTTTGGTTTTGTTTTACCTTTTGGGAGATAGCATTATCTTAGGCTAGGAAAACTTCCATTCTATCCCCAGAGTTAATTATCTTGTTTCAAATGTGAAAAGTTTTTAACTAACAAGTTTTTACTTGGCTTCCCTGTGCATTCTACCCCAAAGTATAAATATCAGGTCATGAGAATTACTTTGCTTATTAAATCTTGACTGTCACTTGAGACAGGAAATCTGTCAATTAGTGCTTATCTGCCCTATTTTATCTTTTGGGATTACTTTGCTTTTGCCAATGCATATCTGAAGTTTGACAATACTTACTTGATATTTGTTCTTTAGCATGTCCAATGAAACACACATAAAACCCAATTTTATTTGAATGAAATCACCCCAGCTCCTAAAATTGGTGTAGTTGTTTCCTTCTTTCCTAGTAAGCTTTTCCTTTATTTGCTAAATAAATAAAAAAATTTTTTTAAAAATCATATTACTATACAGTTGCCTCCTTGGGATCTGATTTTATTCTTTATCCTCTTCACCTGTAGGATCAGCCTTGAGCACAAGCAATACTTGACTATTTGGACAAATGTACTTTTACAGAGGAACATAGTACTTGTTGTAACAGCTCAAGAAATGGGTTTATTAAGCTCATTTAAAAAAATGCCTGGTACTTTAGATGATGAAGAAAACTCCTTTTGAGAAATCTTGCCAGCTCTAGCTTGCTGAGCAAATGGTAGAGGACAGAGGTGTGAGATTCTTTTCTGCCTTGATTGTAATTATTTGCTAGTTCCTGTAAGTGTCAAGTTGATTTTTTTCCTTCCTCTTAGTGTTTGTATGTTACCATAGCTGTGAAAGCATGCCATAGAGGAAAGAATATTGAGGTAGGGGTCAGGAGAATTGGGCTCTGCTCAGCCCCTGATTTTTATAACTCATGGCAAGTCAAGGAATCAGGGACTATTACTATTGAGAGGTGGGACAACCGCTGTAATCTGCATCCTCATGGAGCAAAGTGCTCTATAATATTCTCTGTGGGCCTTACTTTACTCATCTATAAAACAAGAGAGTTAAACTTGGTGATCTCAATAGTGGCTTCTAGTTCTCACATTCTATAATTCCCACTCTAATAGTTCAACTAAGATCCCATTGCATAAAAAGACAGGAGCTTATTTATCAAGCTGGTTGTTATATGCGTTTTACTGTGGTAGTTTAGTGCTTCTATAGGTCTTTGGTCCTGTTGAACTGTGCTATAACTGAATTGGAAGACCACAGTTTTCTGAAAGAACTCTGAGAAATTCCATATAACTAAAACAGGAAGACATTCTCAGCTAGGTCGGTCTTGTTTTACCATCATTTTACCTTCGTCTTAGAGACAGTGAAAATGAAAGAGTCTTTTCCTATAGTTTGGTGAATGGTTGTTTCTGCATCATTGCAATGTCCTATGATAGTACAGTTCAGACAAATTGAGCTTTTGTTGAAACAAGTTCTTTGCAGTGAAGTTCTTTCCCCAAATCTTTTCATATTTTAGTGAGGTCCTTCACACATCAAACACCTGTTAGACTCTGGGATGTAGTTTCTAGATTGTTATTGGTTTTTGTCCTTCAAATATCAAAGGACTAAATCACCCTGAAAGTGAAGCAGAATAACTCTGTTTATCTCACAAGGGCTTATTTAACAACCAAAACAAAAATGACAAAACAAATTTGCTCTGAGTCATCCATTGAATGTCAATACAAACAACATCCCAGGCGCAAGAGCACATGTGACCAAGAGCTGCAGCTGTTACTATTCTTTCTACGTTGTAAGCAGCAAATGAATATGATCGTTGGGGTTTATGCTACGTTCCAATATAGTATTAGCCATGATTGCAGTGATAATTCTGAAATGATGAGTTGAAGTGTGACATGAAGTAAATTTTAGAAATGCTGTTTAGAAATTGAGTGTGCCCTGCGTATCAGTGCTCTTGGAGCTGATTGTAACTAGTAGCAGCTATAACTCTCGTCTCTGAATTCTGACACCTGGGGATCAATTTGTGGTGGGGGTTGCCAGGCATAGGAGGGTAGGTTTCTCTTTTAGACAAGGATACAAGTTTCATAATTGTGCCATCTGCAATCACAAAATGCTGAGATTGGGCTGTTTTCTGTGACTCACCTAGAGTGCATTTTGCACATAGAAGGATGGAAAATAAGGGGAGTAGTGGAGGACACATTTTCAGCTCTACAGTATTCCTATATCACTGTATACAGGGGTGGGCTCAAGGTCCCTCAGCACATATGCCCTCACAATTTAAGATTTAAACCCATTTAATGAACAGTGAATTTAGCCAGAGTTTGATATGGTCAATGGGCTGAAAATCCAGATCTGATATCACAGAATTCACTTTGAACCATTTGGAAGGGTATTTCCTAAAGTTAAGTGACAAATGTGAAATATCAGAAAACAGCCACTAGGAAGGGCTTTTATAACAACAACAGCTAATATTTACGTAGTGTCTTACATTCATTATCACGTCTTATCCTCACAATAACCCTGTGATATTGTTATTACATTTTGTAGATTAGGAAACAGATTTGCAAAGGTTGAGAGACTTGCTCAGAGTGGCAAAGACTGTTCAAAGATGAAATAGGATTTCCTGAATCCAAATTCAGTGTTATTTCTTTTTTTTTCTTTTCTTTTTTTTACCACCCCAAACTACTAATATTCAACCTTCAGTATGGAAGAAAATATTTAAGAGAACATGGATATACATGAAATGATGTTCTCCGAATAGAGGACAATATACTATAATATCATTGTAAAGAGAATTTGTATTCATTTTGTAGAATGAAAGGGATGCCCTCTCACATCACCGCCTGCCTTAGAATCCAAAACCTACCCGCTGTTCCTCGGATTTGGCCTTCCACCTGCACCCCTCTTCCTTTGTCCAGGCTGTCCCTCATACCTGAATGTGCTCCCTCTTCACTGGCGCTTTCTAGAATCTTTAGCTTCTTCAAGACCTAGCTCATATGCTACTTCCTATGGGAAATCTTTCTGATCGCTTAATTTTTTAGTATTTTCTCTCTGTCTCCTCAAATTATCTTGCTTTACTTATCTGCTTGCATGTTGTTTTTGCCTGTAGAATGTAAGTTCCTTGAGGGCAAGTACTTTTAAAAATTTTGGTCTTTATCTCCAGTACCTATAACAGTGCCTTGCAACACAGTAGGCAGGATGACAAGCAGGATTACTTTGAAAGATTACTATGTATTTGCTAATCGCTGAAAGATAAATAGTCTAGCAAAAACTTAATACATACTTTTGTACTGAATTGAATTGACAAGTACCTCAGAGATCAGTAAGTCCAACCTTTCTCTGAAGCATCATCTTGGCACAGTAGACAATTGACGGGGGGGTGGGAAGAGGGGGGAAAGTCAGATTTTTAGGGGCTCCAGGAAGACCTTAGAGTCTAAAATAATCCTCCCTCAAGCTAATGCCTGCAATCTTCCCTAGTCCTTAAAGCTTCATTCTTTTAGTTTAAGGGTTGATCCTTTTAAAATTTTATTGCTTTTCAGCAGTATTGACTTTGCTATTATTACTCAGACCTTTCTGTGAATGGGTTTCAGACAATTTACTGAGAGTAGGCTTTGACAGCTGGATTTGAAGAGAGCCCTAAAAAGGGGTAGGGGTTGGGGGTAGAATGGATAAAGAGGAGCAGGGAGGCCAGGGCACTAAAGCCATCACTGAAGTCAGCTTTCTCTGCCTCACACATACATTTACCAGTTGGTTGGTGTAAAAGTCTTGTACTTTCTCTATATACTCATTAGGCAACTTTGTTCTTAGAGAGTGGTGTTTCTAAGGCCAAGGGCCAAGGTTGACATCTATAAACACACTGGATTGCCTAAGCCAGATGCTTTTGATGACAAATTATAGGCTTTAAAACAAATTTTATGTCTGTAGACTGTTCTTAGCTTGATTTTAAATCTTCCCGACTTTGCATATTAAAAAAAAAAAAAGAAAAGAGAAAACAATGCATGTGTTTTTTGTTTGTTTGTTTGGAATAATACATTTCTTCTGAGTGCGGTAAGAGAGGTGGTACACAATAATATAAGAAGTTTGTATTCATTATGTGGACAAAAGCTGAAGATGCCCATAGAGCATTTCACAATAAGATAAAGAAATCCTTCCCTCTGGGCAGCTAGGTGGCACAGTGGATAGAGCCCTGGCCCTGGAATCAAGAGGACCTGAGTTCAAATCTGGCCTCAGACCCATAACACTTACTAGCTGTATGACTCTGGGCAAATCACTTAACCTCAACTGCCTCACCAAAAAAAAAAAAAAAAAAAAAGAAATCCTTCCCTCCCCATGTTATTCCACTTTACCTCATTTTTCAGAAGTAGATTTGAAATTACCACTGATTTCATTGGAAACTGAGTTTCATAAGGGTCCCTAATGATAGAGACCTTTACTCTTAAGTATGAAGGGATCTAATAGTAGCTTATGACAAGCAGAATTACTTTGAAAGATTACTATGTATTTGCTAATCACTGAAAGATAAATAGTCTAGCAAAAACTTAACTCACTCATAATTGCATCCTCCATTATCTGGCAAAGATCTAAAATTCAAGACATATAGGAAATTAATACAAATATAGAAGAACAAAAGCTATTCTCCAATGGTCTATTAGCAAAAGCATGTAAAAAAATTGTCAAAAAATCACAAACTTTTAACAGTCAAATGAAAATTTCTTTCAAATCACTAATAATAAGAGAAATGCAAATCAAAACAACTTTCTGATTTCACCTCATACAAAGATGACGAAAGGTGGGAATAATTAGTGTTGGAGGTGGTGTTAAAAGGCATATTAATATGCTGTTTTTAAAGCTATGAATTGAGTCAATTCTGGAAATTCTTGGAATTCTACTAAGAAGTGACTAAAATGCCCAAAAACTTTGACCCAGAGATCTCACTGCTAGGCATATACTCCAAGAAGGTAAAAAAAAAAAGTCCTATATACACTAAGTTATTTATTGTGGCATATATTTTGTAGTAGCAAAGAATTGGAAACAAAATAGATGCCTGTCTATTGTGTAATGGCTGCACAAATTGCTTGCACATGAATGTAATTAGATTATTACTGAACTGAATAAATTAATAAATATAAAATGCAAACAAGCATGGGAAGATTTATGTAAATTGATGCAGAGTGAAGTAAGTAGAACCAGGAAAACAATATATACAATGACTACAACAGTGTAAATGGAAAGAACAAAAGAAAATTTTTAAACTCAATGCTTATATACTTATAAGGACCAACCTTGACTCTGAAAAAGAGTTAAGATACTGCATCTTCTTCCCTTCTTTTCAGAGGTGTTAGACTTTGAGTGTGGAACAGGACCTATTCTACTTAGACTACATTGATGTGTTGATTAGTTTTACAGAAGTGCTTTTATCTCACTCTC